GAAGGCATTTCTTGCTCCCTGTCTCTTGGTTCTGTGGCTGCCATTTTTATGCCTCTGCTGCTCTCTGAGTCTCCTCTCTGGTGTTACAGCTTTCTCTTTCTATGTCTCTGACTCCTGGATCTGGGAGGTTCTCAGCACAGGGATCCTGGGTTCAAAGGATGCATTCCACTTCCAGCTCTGCTTTCTTGGTGGTAGTGAGATTCCCCCATTCCACCTCTGGGATGGCTCATTCTAAGATTAGTGGGATGACAAAACTGACTAATCCTCTGATTAGGGTTCCATACACCTTTTATGTATGGCCCTACCCCCACAAGAGTGCCATGCACCTTATTTACATGAGTAGCAAGCTATCCAATCCCTTGGTTGGGCCACAAGCACCTCATTTGCATAGTCATTTGGTGGAAGTTACAAAGAATGGCTGCTGTTGTTGTTATTATGTGCCGTAGAGTCAGACCTGACTCATAGCGACCCCTCCTTGAGTTTCCAAGGCAGTATCACTACGGAAGTAGATTGCCCAACCTTCCTTCCAAGGAGTGGCTAGTGGGTTTGAACCACCAGCCTTCTGGTTAGCAGTCAAGTGCCTCAGGCACTATGCTACCAGAGCTCTATTGAGTAATTCACTGTACCACACTATTATCCCCTAGACAAGGACATTTTCTCTAACTTATTTTTGGAGATTTAACTCTTTTAAGGTGGCCTGTGCATAAGTTTCACATTTAGTAAAGAGAATATAGTGTATTGGAGAAGACACTGGTTCTAGTCATAGCCCTGCTTCATTATGTGGGCAAATGATTACATGTTGGCCATCATCTTTTTTCTGCAAAATGAGAGTCAGGCTATATTAGGGTTTTCCCAACTGTTCTGTAAGAAGAAATGAGTTTTCACTTCTCTGAAGTTTTGAAATCCCTATATGTCTTTATGTCTTTTCGATACTAATAGAATCTCTAGGTAAAATAAAGAAGAGGAGGCTACAGTCCTCTCTTGACTATTGCACTGTTCTTACTGAGAGTTCTAGTGCTTTTTCCAGTACTTAGGAGGGGGCAGCAGATGGCAACTGGTTTCCAGATCATCCAATAAGACAAAGATTTATTGATATATCTTGATGTACTGTTTAGAATCTGGAGCCTTGGACTAAATAAACCATGTCTATGGTTCTTTCTGACTGTGGTTCTAAGGAGTGTCTAAAAGACATGATAACATTGTTGAACAAGTATTGATAAAAAAAGGTCAAATAACTTTTGTCAGTAATTTTAAAACAACATTTATGTTGGGCACTAGAGTCTTGAGCCTCTCCTAAGCATTGTTAAAAACCAGCTAAGATACTAGCTGATGATGAATTCTTAAATTTGTAGTGTGAACACTTTCTCAATGCTCATCAATTTTTTTTTTTTTTTGTCCTTTGGAAAAGAAGCTATATTCTCTGTGTAATAGTATTTATGCTATCAAATTTGGGGAATTTGAAAGACATGCACAGTTGTTTACTCTTAATATTAGATGTCTGATGTTATTCCTCCTCAAGAGATTTTTGATTTTACATCTTCTTCCATATCTGTGAATTATAATTGCTTCATAATGTATTCATCTGAAGTGTGCTGGGAACAAAGCACCCAGAAAAGACAAACCCTGAAAATATGTCTATGCTGAGGAGGAGCTTCTAGCTTAATTAAACTAACCTTGTTAAATTGTCAGAAAGACAAATGAGGCATATTTGTCAGTTTGTCATAAATTATTCTAGGGGTGAAATTACCTCATGGTAAGATTTCTGTGCCCATGTATAAGCTTTTTTATATATACACTGTCTGATACCTTTTTTAGGTCGGGAGAGGGATGCTGTGGGAAATGGAATAGCTATTATTATACAGTTAATAAGTTTGACAGAGCTAGATATAGCTTGATTTTCCTTCCAGTGCAATTTTCTTAATGTATTGCTCCTTAGTACCTACCACTTGGGCTGGCTAGAGTTATGCATATGTATGTAGATTATGTCTGATGACCTTCCTTTCCAATTGCACTTCCATGGCTATGTGAATATCTCTTTAGTCATTCATTCTCCACTCATCCTGTCTAGTGCATTTGTAGAGCACTGTGTCGTGTAATACACCCCCTCTTACCCACTGGCATGGAGTGGATTCTGACTCATAGTGACCCTTTAGGAGAGAGTAGAACTGCCCCATAGCTCCTATGTAATACACAATATATACCAAATAGATCTGGTGGTGTAGTGGTTAAAACACTCACTGCTAACCTAAAAGGTTGGCAGTTTGAACCCAACAGTTACTCTGTGGGAGAAAGATGAGGCAGTCTGCTTCTGTAAAGATTTACAGCCTTGGAAACCTTATGGGGCAATTTTACTCTGTGAGTTGGAATCAACTCTATGGCAGT